TTGTTTGTTTTTTGCATTATTAGTTCAGCCAAGAATGGATGTGCTCACCTCAGTTCTCTTCTTGGGGGCAATCTCTGCACCATGAAGTAGGCATCGATGTCTTTTACTGGGGTGGGCATTACCTTCTCTCACTCGTTCAACTTTTATCTTGAGGAGGTGCTCGGTTTTATCAAGTTGTTTTTGATCATATAGCTTTTGCCTTTATTCTCTTAATGTTGATTGATTGATACTGTGACACAAATTTTGCCTTCCTGAGACCAGCTTCTCCGGAGCTCCGTGTGTTCACCTCTTTACAAGCAGCCCCAGAAACTCTTCCCTAAAAGCTGTCCCAGGTGGACGGCGGTGGACGGCGCTGGGGCCCTGCAGGTACAATCGGGCGCCCGGACCCGTGCCCTGTGCCCCCCTCCCAGGCCAAGCCGCTCGCCCTATTTTGCAGGGAGGAGGTTAAGTTCCAAGGCCATGCAGTTGGGGGATGGGGGCAGGGTGGGAAGGCTCTACCCCGACATCAGCTCCAGGAATGGGGGGCACCCCCTCCCCTCCTGCCTCTTCCTCCGGGCTTCCTGGGCGCAGCCTCGGTTGGGTAAACACACTTTGCAGGGGGCGAGGAGAGATTCCGATTTTGCAATTACTCGGGCTGGGTCTTGGGGCCCAGGGTGCAGCCGGGCCAGGGTGCGGACAATTAATGACCGGGATCCTGCTCTGAGGCCGGGCGAGGGCCCAGCCGGGGCCGGGTGTTTACACGCACGCCCGTCTGTTTGGGGCCTGCAAATCCGTGTCAGATGTTAATGGAACAGCACCATTTTTCTGCCGAGGTGGCATCCCTGGGTTGTTTGGATGAGCGGCCAGCCTGGCTCAGGGTGGGAGGTGGGCGGCCCGGGAGGGAGCTAGGGCTTTATCAAGGCCATTTGTCAGGCTTCGGACGACCCTACCTTCCCCCCCAGGCCACGTCCCCACACAGGCCCCATCCTCCCGGCTCTGGGGACAAAAAACTGGGAGCTGCTGAAAACTGAAAAGAATTCCTGCCTAAATTATAAAAAGGAGTCTGAAAACCGGAAATGAGACAATGTTTAATTAAGCACTGGTTCAGCCAAACACCCAGCTTGGGTTTGAGCCCAGCCCAGGCCACAACCTGGAAGCCCAGGTGCAGTGTCCACGTGGCCCGAGGCCTGTGCTCCTCTAGATGCTCCTGGGTACCTGGCTCTGTCCTGCTTGCAAAGCTGAAGGGACAGAGAGAGGAGCATGGGGGACCCTTCCTCTGCCCTGGAAGGAGAGGTCCTCGTCTGCAGGAGAAAAGCCCAGAGAGGAGAGATCACTTGCCCAGGATCACACAGTGAGCTGGGTCAGCAGAGGAGGCTGGGAGGGGATGCTGGGGCTCAGAGAGGAGGTGGCCCTGGAGCTCTTCTGTGTGACCCTGGCCCTCATTCTGTAGGCCATTGCTGAGCTACACAGCCTGACAGGGTGATGGCCTCCTCAGGGCCCAAGAGGACGAGGCAGCTTACTCTGAGCTCACCAGCTCCCAACCTCCTCTCTACACCTACTGTCTCCCGGTGCTCCCTTAGCAAGCTCTCCTGCCCCAGGGCCTTTGCACAGGCTGCTCTCCTTACCAAACATGCTTCCCTGAGGACTCTGCTTTGTGACTGTCCCACTGAGAGGCTTTTGAGCCCAGACTGGCTGAGATGTACCTGGCCAGGGTCCAGTCCTGTTCACTTCACAGCCCCGCTGTAGGGAGCATGGGAGAAGGTCAGACAGCCTGTGAAAGTGGGGTATGCTCTCAGGAAATGTGACCACATGGCTTGAGGACTCAGGAAATCCCTGTCCCCAGCCTTCTCATCACCAGGGTTGTCACTAAGGGGCCCCTCCCAGGAGACCTGGGACATAGCGTAGATCCTTACCTCAGGGCCTCCTCTTCCTCACCCTGGGCACTGGGCCCTCTCAGCTCTGCCTCCCACACCTCTCTGCCTCAGTGATAAGGGTGAGGAGACCCCAGCTGCTGAGGTCCATTCAGGCCCTGCCTCAGTGCAGCCATCTGCAAGCTGCCTGCTTGCTCATAGTGCTAAGTCTGGTCAGGCCAGGTCCAGGCAGGCTTGGGCAGGCAGGGAGCATGGAGTGCTGGGAGGTGGTAGGTGACAGAGCGCACCTCAGAGAAGCTCTGCACAGGTCCTCCATGGGCACAGTCCCTCATTGCAGCCATTTTCAGAAAGAGCACATGTGTCCCTGCCTCAGGGCCTTTGCACTTGCATTGCCACTCTTCTGGAAGGCCCTGAGAGCTGCCCCTTGGCCACCATCTGCAGGAGGGTCTCTCTCAATAGTCTCGAGGGGCCTAGAGCTGATTCATCTGTGCTTCAATCCAGCTCTCTGAGACTGACTGGCCTTGGTTTCCAGTGGGTAAAACAGACCAAGGAGGAGCTCCACAGGGCTGGGGACTAAACTGATCTGATTTGCATCTCCTCCACTCCGGCACTCACGATTTGATAGACTTATAATTTTACTTCCTGGTTTAGTGCCCCACCCCCATGTCCCCTGTAGCACAGCCCCAGGCTCTGAATAACCTTGGGCCGTATTGGGCTCAGTTCCTGGCCTTGCCCTGCCCCCTGGCGTTTATTCTAGGCATTACCCCATAGCCTCCCTGGCGGTGGGACTCTGCTAAACCCACATTCAGGGCTTGGCTCTGACCTTCAGGGGTCAGAGGAGCCAGGCACTGAGATATTATCTTGTGCAGCAAAGCCGAGCTCCCCAGTGGTCGTTGTGAGCAGGGTACATGACAAAGGCACGGGGGAGTCCTTGAACCTGCACACCCGACACTCTGTCTCCTATGAAGTGCAGACACCCCAGGGCCACTGCACCAGCACACCCAGGGTGGTTTCCTGGGCCCACTTCAGAGTAGTTCAGCCCCACTTGCTGAGCAGTCTGGGGTCTGGGGCCACCTCAGAAAGCACCTGCAAGTCCCACGGGCCACACTGCATCCCGGGCCAGGCCCCCTACACCTGCCCCGTGGCCCAGTGAGGGCTGACATCGCGGGAATCAGTCTGCTGGGGCAAGGTGTCCACGCCCCCCTCCTGTGGCTGTCACCCTGGTGAAGGCGGGCGGCGTCCTCACAGGAGCCCCCATGGCTGTGCTCAGAATGTCAGGGACAGCGGGGTGGAGTGGGGATGCACATGCAGGTGGCTTGCTAGTGCTGCCTGATCTGCTGCCGGGCTGAGGTCACTGCAGGAACAAACATCACAAGACCTGAGGTCAGCACGGAAGCCTGAGCAGCGGGTGGCTCTGCGGGTGGTTCAATGCCAAGTGGAAACTCCAGCCCCAGCCCTGTGCCCTGGGTCCCCAGTCAGCACAGTGGCCAGGACCAGCCACACACGGCACCTGCCACACAGGTGGAGAAATCTGCAACACTGGGTCCCACTCACAGACATGTCTGCATCACCCTGGTGTCGCATATAAGGACACCAGGGCCAGATGGACAGGCTGGGAGGCGGTGGAGGGCCTCGGGGCTGAGCCAGGGCGCCAGGACTGTGCCCTGCTGATGCCAGCATGCTGGGTTTGGGTCCTCCGGCATTAAGGGACCTCCAACATGGGGCCCCATCCTGGCCTGGACCTCAGGGGCCTGCTTCGGGTGGAGGAGAGGTTCCCGAGGGCCAGCATGGGAGCTCCAGAGGGAAGCAATGAAGCCTAGATGATGGAAAGGTCCATCCTCCCCTGGGTCTCCCAGGCTGCCCCGTGGAGGGAGGCATCGTGCATCGCCCTGTGCTGTGCTCACTGGCAGGGCTCCCCAAGCTCACTGGCAGGGCCTGCTGGCACTGACTACAAGGCAGGGTGGAGAGCCCAGTCAGGGAAGCACTTGGCCAGGGCCCCCGCCCGTGCCACTAGCACTTAGCAGGTCTCCTCCCAGGCCCGAAGACACATGGGCCACCAGGGACGCAGTGAGATCCAGCATCCACAAGGGCCATGCGGCTCGGCTGGTGGGGTGCAGGTGGGGGATGGAGCCCAGGCCCTGGAGATGCTGCGGAGCTGTGCAGGGCCTCATACCCCTGATAATCCTCCCCCTGCTAGCCTGAGGGGGCTTCCAGGGAAGGGCCTGGAGGGACTGCAGAGAAGCCCACAGCTGGGCACTGTCTCCCAGTGGCAATGGGGACTCTCAGGGGAGCCCAGGGCAGTCACCTTCAGGGGTCTGGGCGTGACAGTGTCCTGCAGAGGCTGAGGCTGCAGTGTGGGCCCCAGGCACCACCTGGTGGCAGCGCTAGGCCCCAGCCCTCACCCCTAGCCCCAGGCCAGGAAGGGGTCCCTTCTGGGCCCAGCCACAAGGTTCAGGATGGGAGCCTCCATCAGAGCCTCGAGAAGGACACAGCTCAGTGAGGGGGGGACCTGCCCCTTGGCACACTGCTGGCGAGTGGCAGATAATGAATTGCACCTGTGTGGCCAGCCGTCCCATGCCAACAGGGACCTCTAACTCTGTTTGTCTGCCTGCATACCAGAGGTAGGCTTGGCCAAACTCCCCAAGCCCCAGCTCCTTTCCTGGAATTCTCCCCTCAGGAGACTGCATGAGGGGCTGGGACCCCCCAGAGACCTGCTCAGCAAGGGGTCACTGGTGAGGCTTGGCCACTCCCAGTCTCTGGAGTCCTGGATCCCAGCCCCAGCAGAGCAGCACTGCCTGAGCAGCCTGATCATTCTCAGGGCTGTTCTGGTTATCACCCCGGTATAGGTACAGACAGACAGAACTGGGGCTCACCACCAAGGGGCCCTGCGGTAGGATCCCTCCTTGCCCTCCTGTACTTCATCCAGGTGGCTATTTCTGTATGGAGACAAACCCCAAGCCCATGGAGTACCCCACCCATACGCACAGGACCTGGAACCCCAGGCTGAGGCACAGAGCCCGGCTCTCCAAGGCCCTTGCGCACACTCCTGCTAGCTGCAGTCCCGGGCTTTAGCTTAGCAGGGAGCCCAGCCACCCCTGAAATCCAGCCCCCCCCCCCCGCCACCATAGTGCAGAAATGACACAGACATGGTTCTGTACAAAACCTGAAATATTTTTTACTTTTTAAAACTTTGGTCTAAGTTGCCTCAGACCTCATGGACTCAATACAAGAGTAATATGAATTGGGAAATAAAACACTTTAAAGCCACGATAAACTTTGTTAGAAATGTACATGTTGCCAAAATAATAATAAAATTAAAAAGAGAGAAGAGAGAGAGGGAGAGAGAACGGCTTGCCGCCCGGGTTAGATTATATAAATGCTGACAAGGACAGGCCAAGGGGACTGAGGACGCCCGTTCCGATCTGATCCGAGAGGCCCAGGCCGGGAGCCCCGAGTCCTCCTGCTGGGGCGGGAGTGGGGCTCCGCCGCTGCCTCTCCGAGTACAGGACGCCCGGGCGATGGGTGTATAAACAAAGCTCATAAGAAATGTACAAATATAAAAAGCTACAAACATTAATAAATTACAGCATCACAAAACACAGAAACACTTCACAAGGTGCTAGTAAAATAACTGTCTCCCAACCCCCTCGTCATACAAGAAGGGCAACAAAGAGCTGGTTTCAAAGTTGAAGATTCGTCTTCAAAACGTGTCTGAAATAGAGCTTTTGTGTCCTGTTTGCCTCTGTGAAGACAAGAGTGTAAGGCCGCGCGACGCCGCTTGTTTTTCAGGCAATTCCTCGTTCCTCAAAGGAAAACAACAGTGAGGGCGATAACGAAGGCGAGAAGGGAAAGGAAAAAAGAGCGCTGAACCCGACTGCCCGGCAGAGTCGGCAAAAAACTCGTATAAAGGGAATGAAGGCTCTATAGAAAGAAATTCCTAAAGATACTTTCGCTCTTATAAAAAAGAAGTCATTTAAAAAGCTATTTACACGCTACATTCTATGAAAAATATGCTTCAGGAAGTACATCTAAAATTAAAATACAGGATTGCCTGAGAAACAATGCAGCCCCTCCGTGTCGGCGGGCAGACGCGCCGGCTGTCTGTCCGTCCGTCGTCTGGGTAGAGCGCGGGAACAGAGAGGTGCCTTCTGCGCCCTCCAGAGCTGCCGCCTGCCCAGGGGTCCTGGGTGGCGAGAAGTGCTTCTCGGGGTGCAGCCTGCAGAGCCAGGCCGGGCCCCGCTTCGTGGCTTAGCCTGGGCCCCCGGGCCCCAAGAGGTGGCTGAGCCCTTGTCCTTCCCTGGGGACCCCGACGCAGCCCCCGCACCTGGCAGCATGCCAACCCAGCTACTGGTCCTAGCTGCCCCAAAGAAATGACCCTGGGTGTCGGGGTGTGACACCGCCATCTGGGCTGCCGCCTCCCACCGGGGCGCGGGGTGGCGGACTTCTCCTGGCGGCCAGGTGCTCCTGGAAAGAGCCTGGAAGGTCTCCACAAAAATCCTGCTTGCTCTTCCTCACTTGCCCGCTGTGTTCTTTGCCTTTTTTTAAGCCTCTGGAGGCTACCAGCCTGTGGCCAGCTCAAACTCTGGGGCCCGTGAGCATTGGCTCACTCCTCCTTCCTCGAAGAACTCGCGCTCCCAGAAGAGCTGCAGAAGCCCTGAAATCACACCCACATTCTCAGGTGGCTGGAGGCTGTCCTGAAACTGGAATGGTCCTCATCCTGGCAGGGCAACTTTCCCGGAACTGGTCACTCCAAGCAACTGGAGAAAGGACGTCCACATTCAAAACGAGGGCCCCATGCTAGGCTTGCTCTGCCTGCTCAAGAGACAGACGCTGGTTTGTGGGAGGTGATGGCTGAGGGGGCGAGGCCATCCCTGGGTGAGGCAGCTCCCGCCCTCCCTCCCTGGGGCTGATGTTTTGCGAGGCTCCGGGGTCCCGAGCAGAGCAGCAGGGTCCTGGCACTCCAGACTTTACAGGAGCAGTTTCCCGTTTCGATGGATTTTCAGAATCCTCCCGAGCCTCTGCTTGGCGGTAGCCATGCCCTTTTTCGTGCGTTTTCCTAAGCGGGGAGGCGAAGGGGACACAGGAGGAGGAAAAGCATGAGGACGGAGCAGGTGGGAGGCAGCCTCCACAGACGAGGCAGCTGGCGCCCTGCGCCCTACACACGGCCCTGACACAGCGTCCAGTGCAGCCATGGCGAGCAGTGAGGGCGTGACCAGGGCGGGAGGCCACCTGGGCCAGGGCCCTGGGAACAGGCCGTCTCAAGCCACTTTCGCAGCTATGGTGCGTCCCTTCCAGTGGCCCATGGGTCCAGGCCAGACTGCAGGAGCCCCACATATGGCAGGATTGGTAGACAGTGCGGTACCACGATACCACGGGAGCTGGCCGGCGGTGGCACCCTAACCCACATGGAGGGGCTGGTGACTGCAACCAGCCTGGCTCGACTCCGGAGCTCCCATTCTAGCCCTGGTGGACAGCTGGCCTTACCCGCACTCTGCAGCAGACCCCAGGGCGGAGGGCCTAAGCCTAAGCCTCGGGAACCAGAGATCGGTCCTCTGGCCCCAGTCTGACTGTGTCACTCAGCAGTGGCCTTCCTTTCTGTGGGCAGGCCAGGCCTGAGCAGGCTGCAGGCGCCTGGCATGGCCTTGGGGCTTTGGGAGCTAACTCTGACCCCAGCACCCGCAGTCCTGGGACCAGAGTCCGGGAGCCTGAGTGCTGAGGGGTGGCGGGGGCAGCAGGGCGGGGTACCTTTGGCGGCGGCGCTGTTGTTGGGTGAGGATGCGGAGGGCCGCCTCTGTGTGAGAAAGACCCCGGGGGCCATCGGTTGGGCTGCTCGGCCGGCCTGGGCCCCCGAGAAGGCGCCAGCCACTGTGTACTCGTGGTCAGCCAGGCTGCTGCTGTGTGACTCGGGTAGGGGCTCCGGCGAGCTGCTCTCCTGCGAGGCCTGGCTGCTTGCTGTGCTGGCGGAGGCCGGCGTGGCGGAGGCCGGCGTGGTGGAGACCAAGGTGGTGCTGGCGGAGACAGAGGCGGAGGCGGAGACGGAGGTGGAGGCAGCAGTGGTGGGTGGAGAGGCGGCGGAGGCAGCTGGAGGCTTCCTCTTCGTGCTCTTCTTCTTCCTGCTCTTCTGTTCCTCCTGTGACAAAGCAGGGCCCCTTACCCTCCAGGTAGCTCAGATGCCCCTGGGGCCACACCCAGGCTCAAACCTACACTAGGAGAAGGCCGACTTGAGGCCCAGAGGCCTCACCTATTCAGGGGTGGCGCAGACAGGCCCCAGTACCCCACATCCGGCAGCCACACCCACAGTTTTGAGCATCAGAGACCTGGGCTGGAGCCAGGGCACCTTCGGATACACGACTGTACCAGCATGCACTGCCCACGTGGCTCGGTACAGGGGACCCTCTCTGCACCTCAGGACGGCATGGAGAGCCCCTGGGTGCCCCCTGCACCAGGGCATATCCAGCCTCACTACAGGGTCTTGGCCACCAATCCCTACCTCCCACCCCAGCTGCTCACTGATCACATGTCCCTGGGGGTCTGGGCACAGATAGGGATGGAGGGAGCCTGAACCAAGTGGGCCCCCACCTCACTGAGCCCCTCCTCACCTGCTGGGACAGCTTGGCTGCGGCAGCTGCCAGCCCAGTCTCAATGGAGGCCACTCGGGTCCCCTCTCGCACAGGCCTGTCCTGTCTCGGCACTGATGGCCCGACCCTTGCTGCGGAAGAGAAGGGCCAATACCTCAGCCTCTGGGCCAGCTGGGGCCCCCTCCTGGCTCTAGCACCCCAGCCCTTGGGTCTGGGGCCCCTGAGCACCATGGTCACAGTGTGGGAAGCCACCGAGGGTCAGTGCCACTGGAGTTTCTGTGGGATACTGGCTGGGAGACCCAGCAAGCTTGGTGTAGGGGAGGGCACAGGGAAGGTGGGCAAAGCCCTGCCCAGCCATCCACCCTGACAGGTGTCCCTTGGCCACCACACTGCAGCCACTAGGTACCAAGATGCCCCTCCCAGAATGACCTATTGTGGAGGCAGATGCCAGAGCAGAGCCAGCCCTAGGACATCCTGGACCAACACAGCAGAGCCTTCTCTCATGCAGGAGGCAGCTGACCACCCCCACCCCAACCCTAGACAGGCTGTCCAGGACACAGGCCAGGACAGGACAGGGCTGGGTCCTCAGAGGCCAGGGACACAGACAAAGACACGACAGTCTGCATCATGCCCCGGGGGCTGCCACACACTACCTGTTGGGCTGTAGGGAGCATCATCAGAGCCTTTCCTCTTCTTTGACCGTGATTTGAAGACAGGGTTGTCTTCGTCAGACTCCAGGGAGGGGTAAACTGAGGGAAGAGAAAGAATGGCAGGGCCCCTGAGCCCCGACACAGCTCGGGGCAGGGCAGAATGGCTGGAAGATGCTGCTGCCCAGAGGACCCAGGTCACCCTCAGGCTAGCCACGCCAGAGAGCTGCCTGCCGTGAGAAGGCCTCAAGTGTGGGAACCGGCACCCAAGGACCTCCAGACGAGCATCACCTGCTCCACCAGCGGGGCTAACTCAGGAGGGTCCCTCGCCTTTCCCAACTTAGCCCAGCAGCTGTGCCCGGAGCCTGAGGGCAGGCAGGCTCCGAGCCTCCCTGGGGAGAGGCACCCAGGCCAGCACCCGGACCTGCCCAGTGCATCTCGGAACAGTGGATGGGTGGCTGGTTTGCCTGGCAACCCCCAAGTCTTGGTGAGGAGCCCCCAGAACCCATGACGCTGGAAATGGCCGCTGTGGGGCCTTGTACTCCTCACACCCTTGGAGCGCACAAAGCACACATGTTGGCTTGGCTGTGGGTGCACCTGCCAAAAGCAGCCGAGGCCCATGACGAGCCCCCATCTGCCCACCGGATGTCAAACCTGCAGCCACTGGGAGGCCACAGGGAAGGCCATGCACTCAGCCAAGGCACGCCCAGCCCCAGAATGGTGGCCTGTGCCAGCACACTGTGCCAAAGGGACGGTCCCAGGTAGCAAGGAGCCCCTCCAGAGCCCACTACAGGGGAGCCAGGGCCGTGGCCCATGCCGAACTGACTGCCTGGCATGGGGGTGGCCACCAGAGCCTCAGTTTCTCCATCTTACACAAGATGGATGTAGTGCTCTCAAAGCCCTCACTGCAAAGTGGTCACGTGGAAGCCTGCCTGGCAAGACCTCAGCAAGGAAAATGCCCAGTGCCCCATCAGCCAGCCAATGCTCTCCGGGAATACAGCCAAGGAGGAGAAGGAAGAGGAGGAGGAGGAGGAGGAGGAGGAGGAGGAGGAGGAGGATGAGGAGGAGGAGGAGGACACAGGTCCCCACAGAGCCCCGCACAATACATTCACAGCAGGGCTGCTCACCACAGCCGGAAGGTCCACGCCCAGACAGGTAGCTCAGACAGGATGTGGCACCCCCCAGCCCCCCACCTCGTGGCAGCACAGCATCAGCCTTGCAAAGGAGAGAGACGCCCACACAGGTTGCAGCGCAGCAGGACCTGGAGGCCACTGCGCCGACTGACTAAAACGGCTCTTTCAAGACCCTTTCGTATGATGTGCCCACAGAAGGCAAACCCGTGGAGACCCAGCAACAGCCAGGGAGAGTGGGAGGAGTGACGGTGGAGGGAACTGGCTTGCTGTTAGGAGATGGGAGCTCACTGTGATGGCTGCACCCCTGCAGATGCCACAGACCACCAAGCTGCACTTCTGCAGGGCAGGTGTTTAGAGTGTGTGCGTGACAGCTCAGAGTTAAATGGGGCCCAGCTTCTGGGGCCCCCGGGATGCCTTTCCAGCAGAGTTGTCCTGCCTGCTGTGGACGCACCGGCCCCCTCCAGGCCCTCCCAGCAGCGGGGACCCTCACCGTAGTCCGAGTCCTTGAAGCAGGCGTCCAGGTGGTCCTGCTCCTCCTCATAGTCCTCCAGGTCCACGCTGTTCTTGGCGGCCCGCTTCAGCAGCCGCTTGCCCGCACTCTTGCTGCCGCCCCCATTCTTCCGGGCGCCATGGGCTGCCAGTGCGCTTCCCTTGGCCTGGCCGGTGCCCCACGTGGTCTGCAGGCAGGAGTCAGAGGCCTGCAGGTTGGCCATGGACAGCATTCCCTGAATGGCTTCCTGTGTGCTGGGGGAGGCCGGGGGCTGGCTAGGAACACAGAGACACAGGCACTCAGCCGTGGCCCTCGGCCGACTGCGTAGGAAACACGGGCATGGTCCTCCACCCATGGCCCACAGCACGGGGCACTTGGACAGATCATGTGCCACAGCCAACAGCCCACGGCTGCACCCTGAAGCTACCAGCCTGGGGCACCAGGGCCATCACAGGGCCCACAGCCCAAGTGCTCAGGCAGAGGTGAGGAAGGGCGAATGGCTTACCACGGAAAAGGCTACCACCTACCCAGCCCCACTCCAGGGAGAGCTGAGGCCTTGGGAGAGGAGTGGCTCATGGAGCACAGGAGGATGGCAGAAGGGGAAGGTACAGGTCACGCCCACACACACACTGGGCTCTCCTGCCTTACAGCTGACCCCCCCCTGCACCCCTGCCAGCTCTGTGCACCTTGGAGCCACCCTATGCTGAGCCTCTTCTCCTCACTCTCAGTACCCTTCCATTTGCCATCCTGAAAAGCAGGGCAAAGCCCTCCCCTCCCACGGCATATCCTGCCCCCGGGAACCCGTGTCTTCTCTCTACAGCCCCACACACATTGGCACCACGTCTGCATTTCCACCTGTGCCACACCCACACCTTACCTACACCTCCACCCCGTTCATACCTACACCCACCGCCGTACCCACATCTGCATCTATACCTGCACTTGCACAGCTGTCCCTGGGGGCAGCCAAGCCAACGGGGGCAGTGCTGGGGCCCAGGCTCATGGCACTCTGAGGGTCCCAAAGCCTCAGAAGGGCCTTTCCTGCATTTGCATCTCACCTAGACAGGCACAGCTGCACTTCAACTCAGCCCAAGCGCCCCAGCTCTGGTAGCCTCTACAGACTCCTAGGTTTTCTCCTCCCACCTCACCTTCCAGGCCTCTGTCACCTTCCACCTCCAGGAGTGCTGCCCAGGGGTCTCAGCCTGGTTCTGGCCATGTCCTTCCTCATCCCCTCCCTGTGCCTGTGCTCATACCTCCTCCTGGTCACACTGGTGGTTCCTTTGCTTCAGGAATCAGCTTCTAAAACTGGGCTTGGAAGAGGTGGGTGATCACTCACTGGAGTGACTGCGGTCACCACTGTCACTCCACAGAGCTACACTGTGGACGATGCTGGAAGGCCAGGTCCCAGAGTCCTGGGAAGCCTCCCACATGGGGGCCTGTCCTACTCCAGCCCGCACCACCACAGCCAGGACCTGCCCAAGACCTGCCCAGACAGTGTTAAGATTGCCAAGTCTGTGCTCTGACCAGATTCAAAGCCGAGGGTCCTCATGCTTCCGGAACAGCCCACGACTCTTCCCCAAGCGCCATGTGGGCACCCTGCAGTGTTTCCTTCTAGTCCTCACCCTTGCCCATCACACTGCAGCCTGCTATGCGGCCCCAGCTGGCCAAATGACCCCCCCAGGCTACGCCACATGCAGGTCCAGGTGGACCTGTCACTGCACCTTGTGCCTGTGGGCACAGACTAGAGGCACACAGACCTCCCACTGTCCCCCACCCCCACGTTCTAAGCTTGTTTCTCCTGAGATTTCTGCATCTGAGTCACCCTCTCTCCAGGCACCCAACCCCCTACCCCTTGTCCAATGGAGCAAGGTCAGCGCCACTGGGAGAAGAGGGCGGCTGGGGAGGTGGTGCAGAACAAGTCCAGCACCGGCTCCCAGTGCCCCTGTATGTGTGAAGAGGCTTCTGCACCCTGAGAGGGACATACATGAGGCAAAAAGGAAGAGGCTGGGGCAGTGGTGGGCAGGCTAAGATGCCCAGGCAGCAGCCCCGCCAGGGTCCTGGATAAGCCACTGCTCAGAACCAAGAGGAGCCCTGACAGCCTGCCAGAGGACAGGGAGAGGGGGCAGCCCCTGGGGGCAGCCAGGCCAATGGGGACAGTGCTGGGACCCAGGCCCATGGCACTCTGAGGGTCCTGCAGCCTCAGAAGGACCTTTCCCGAGCGTGGGGAGGTCAGGATGGCCATGTCTCCACAGCACTCCATGAAAGCCAGCTCGTTGGCCAGAGCCACCGAAATGGAAAATCGTAGGTGGTCAGGCAGCCCCGAGCTCCTGGATCCTGTCCAGCACCATCCAAGCGGTCTGGGCCATGGCACCAGGGGACAGGCTGCCCTCACAGGGCTACAGCTGTGCTGTCCTCTCTGAGCAGACCCAGGCCACCAGCAAGTACCCCCAGCTCGCTGTCCTCTGTGAAGCAAGCTCTGCCCTACAGCCCACAAAGGCCACTGGCAGTGGGCAGGGCTGCCAGGACACCCAGCCACACGAGTCCCAAATGGGTGGCGGGTCCTCACCCAGGCCATGTGAGGATCCTGGAGGGTGGGACCCCATGCCTAGCCAGTCTTTCTGTCCACGCAGTTTTAAGAGAATCAGTGAGCGAAGTTTAACCAGTCAATGTGGAAAATAATACTTTAATCCTCCAATTATCATACCAAAGTCCTCTCCTTTCCCCCCAGCGGTAAACACTAAGCAAACCATCCACAAGAAATTAACATATTTCCAAACAGTCAGTTCTTAAAACAGAGCAAATGGACCATCAAAAACTGACCTGCCGCTCCAAATGGGAGACACAGGGAGGAACTGCCCAGGGCGGGCCAAGGGGCCCACAAGCATGCGCGCGCTGCCCTGAGACCACTAGGCTGCTCCTCTCATGCCACCCTGCTGCCTTCAGGGCTGGGCATGGACCCTGCTGGCACCTCTGTGCAGCACCCGCCAGATAGCACCCAGGGGGCTGCAGGCCTCTCAGTGAAGGTCATGGGGACCCAGGAACTGGCAGGGGGCGCTTCAGACCCTGAGATCAGTCAACCAAGGTGACAGCTTGTGCAAACGTCCTCCCAGAAGTACACGGCTCACAGGGCACCAGCCCACCGACAGTTGGGAGTGGGTGCACAGCCAGGTGTCACCCCCGGACACAGGTGTCTCACATCTCTACAGCAAGGACCAATGAGAAACTACCTCACATGGGGTGGAAATCTGCACCCCCACGGCACTGTGGCCCCCACTAGCCATGCTCCACACGCATTACAAGAAAGCATCCATGGCCAACTGGCTGTGAACATAATACTGCATTGCAAACCAGCAATTTGTGAAATAAAATACAGCCAACTCCTTTCGCCAAGTTCTTTTCAATCAAGCCCTTAATCTGCCTGGTGGAACCCTCCACGGTCTAAGAACAGGCCAACCCTCGGCCTCTCCGGCCCCAAGCAGCCTGCACCCAGCCACTCCAAGGTCTCTAGGGCTGATGTGATGGGGGGACCTCAGCTGCTGGGGGTGGGGTGACTCCCTCCCAAGCCTCCTGGTCTCACAGCATCTGCAGCTTCTCTCTGTACTGGGGAAAACTGAAGCTCGGAAAAATTAGGCAGCTCCCCTGCAGCCTGCAGCTGTGAAGAGGCAGAGACTGGGCTAGGAGCGCCGGTCAGGGGTACAGAGCAAGTTCCACGGTTTCCACGGGAAGAAACAATGGTGAAGCGTGTCAGTGTGAGTGACAACACATGGAGCCCAGTGGCATGGGTTGGGCACTTGAGAGGGGACCATCCTGGCCCTCTCAAGGGCAAAGCCGACCTCCCGAAGAAGAGGCTCTGCCCACCAGGATGCACACCTGTTGGGGTTGTACTCGAGCGCCCCGACCTCCTCGCTGGCCTGCAGCAGGTCCAGGATGCCCGCTGCGGAGCTCCCGCTTTCCTTCTTGACTTTGGCGTTGCGACTAGGCTTGGAGTCGGTGTCGATGTGCAGGGAGCCCTCATCAGAGGAGTCATCGCTCTGCTGGGCAAGGGACAGGGCAACCGGTCAGGGCAGGGGCTCGGGAGGAGAAGGGGGGAGGGACTGCTTTCCCCTTGGGGAGAAAAGTCCGTTTCACACAGTTTTTTAAGCGCCTTGCTCTGAGGAACTGGGCTGGAATCTGAGTGGATGTCACGGCCTCCCCCAGGCCTCCGAGCCCCAGAGGAGGGTGCTCGCTCATGCTGCCTTGCTGCATCACAGGAAGTCCGTTCCAGGATGCCCTCCCCTGGGGCACCCCCACCTCGTACCCAGAGTCCTGGGGCTGCCAGCGTGTGACACGGGGAGTGGGGCAGCATCCGCAGCCCCCAGGATCCTAGCCCTGGCATGCAGCAGCCTCAGATCTCAATAAATACTGGATCTGATCCAGGGGCCACGGCCCCACCTCCCTGGACGTGGCCATAGAGGGACCTTCACGTAGGAGCCCGTGCAGCAGGTGAGTCTGGCTGCACGGGCCTCCCTCAGCCCCGGTGTCCAACAGCCTGGGCAGGCGTTCCCTCCTGCTCTGCCAAGCCTGCATCTGTGCCCAGCCAGGCAAGCCTTGGCGAGAAGGATGCCCCTCATCACCCTGATGAGCTGGGGAGTCACCAGGCTGTGGCCTCAGCAACACGCGGCAGCTGGCTTACCTTGTACACCGCTGAGTCCAGCTTTGGCTTCGTGACGGGCGTGGGAAGCACCTCCTTCTTGTCCAACAAGACTGTAAGCGAAGCAGACACGAGTCCGCTGGAGGCTTGGGCAGCACCAACCATACCAAGGCTCATGGAGCCAGGCAGGACACTGACCCCCACCCAGGCCTCCCCACACTCACAGGACAAGTCCCTTTTTGGGGTGTTCTTCTTCCTCCTGATGGGAAACTCGTCGATCTTGAGCTCCCCATCGTCAGACACGTACTCGTACTCATCCCGCACGGGCTTGGCCTTGTCCTCCTTGAAGTTCTGCAAGGCCCCGAACACACCAGGGCTGGTCGGGGGCCTGAGAGCTTTGCAGCTGGGGCAGCAGAAGAGAGCGGTCAGCAGGGGTCCACACACCACTTCCCACACCCCAGTGCACATCATACAGGGGCTGTGGGCCGCTGGGTCACCTACCCCTGGGCAGGGAAAACCCAGCCTGTCCTCCCCATGCTGTGTCCCACAGGAGTGTGGCCCTGACACGCAGCTCACTCCTCTGGGCAGGGGAAGTGCTCAGGCCTGTGTCCCCCAAACCGCCCCGGACTCCTGGGACAAGCACGGGCCTGCTGTAGGCCTGTTCAAGAGACCCAGACATGTGTGGAGATTGGCTTCACACAGGACCCCAAGACTTCTGGATAGCTTTCTCTCAACAGTGGGGTCAGCGGGCCGAGGCAGAGATGCCTGTGCTTCAAACTGACCCAGATGCAGTTCCGAGCAAGCAGACACCGATGGGTGGACACCGTGCAGGGGCTCAGTCGCCTCCATTGCCCTGAGAGTGTGCCAAAGACTGCATGTGCATGGCATGCCGGTAGGGTGTGTGATGTCTGCACGGTGTATGACAGGGATGTGGTGTGTCTGCGTGTGTACATGCGTGTGAGGTGGCATGTGTGATGTATGCGTGTGGTATATTTATGAGGATGCATACAGGCACATACGGCACACGTGTGGCACAGGTATACGATGTGTGTCTATGTGTTGTGGGTGCATGTGAGGTGTGTAAACGTGTAAAGGAAGCAACCTAAATGTGTTTGCATGTGACATGGTACATACATCTGACATGTTACACAGGTTGTCAGATAAAGTGTGCGTGTGTCATGCACGTACTCTGCTGGAACATGATGCAGGAGTGTGGTGTGTGGGGAACACACCCATGTGATGTACGAGGCCTGCACGGTGTGATCTGTGCATGCCGTAGGCAGCCCACAGAGTGGGTGCTGTGTGCGCAATGTGGAGCATGCGTGGTGTAGAGTGTGGGAGGTGGGCTCTGCATGGTGTGGGTATGTGGTGTGTATGTGTGGAACAGGCTGTGGGCCCGTGCATATGGCTTGCATGTGACACAGGGTGGTCCCCCCTGCTACCCGGCCCTGCACTCACCCCAGCAGCTTCTTGTTGGAGAAGGAGAAGGAGAACTTGTCCTTGTTTCCAGCCAGGGGTGACCTCTCCAGCTTCTGCTCCTCCTCCATCTTCAGCAAGGAGTCTGGTTTGCTGTTCTGAAAGCAAGACAGGTCTGTCCCTGAGCCAGCGGGGCCGCCCAGGGAGAGCGGTGCTCGGCCTTAGGGGTTGCCGAGCCCCAGCCTGCAGCTTCCCCAGCCACACAGCACAAGCACAGTCCCCGAGAGTGACAGGCTTGACCTCGTGCACCCAGCTCCTGCCCAGGCACCCCTCGTGGCCACCTCCTGGTGACTGGCAGATGGGTGCCTGCATGAGCCTTTACACACATGCGTGCATGCACAGGCTCACACTGCTGCTCACACTCACCTTGTACTTCCACTTGGCCTCAGACTTGCTCTTAGTTTGCTCGCGGATTTCCAACCTCTCCACGTCATTCTGCGTATGGACGGCATCCTTGTTAGGAACACTCAAGACACTCTTCGGGGCCTAAAAAACAGCCATTGTGACCCTAAGGCAGATGTGGAGGGTAGCGGGGCTCCCTCTGGTAACAGTACAAAAGTGTGGGTCCTCTTGTTGGCCCACGATCAGATCACCCATTAATCCGTCCCCTCCCCCCTACATTTATCATCCAGCCCTGCATCTTGCCGGTCACCCATCCCTTCATCCACCCAATCCCTCATCCATGCATTCATGCCCTCATCCTTGCTTAATCTGGCCACTCACCCCAGCATTTACCTCCTCATTACCCACCCATTCATCTCGCCATCCATCCATCCATCCATCCACCCGTCTATTCACCCCCTCCTTTGTTCACCCATTCTTCCACCTGTTCATTCATCCATTCCCCATCCATCCATCCACACCTGCCCTGAGAGAGGATACCAGCACACCCTCCTGCAGACCTGGGAGAAAATCAGAAGCAGGTCACAGCCTCCCCCAAGGAGCTCAGATTCAGTGGTAACAGGTCTCAGGGGCCCTGACCTGAGACCTTCTCATCAGAGTGGGGCTGGTTTGGATCCTCTCTTTCCCTGGATACCAGGGCTTCTCTGTGCCACCAATACCCCTGCTGGCCTTAGCCCCAGGGACAGCTTTCTGTTCCTGGAAAACTAGGTTGGGTCACTCCTTCATGGAAGACCACTCTGGCCCCTCTATGGGGCGGCCCACCTGGACGTGGCCCCGCCACAGCCCAAACCCCTGATCTGCCTCCCTGTACGGGTCTCTTTCACCCCAGAGCTACTGGGGCACTGATGAGACCCCTCTGCACCCTCCCCACCCAGCTTTAGACTCCTGCAGAGGGTGAGGGCACACAGCAAGGGATACAGTGCCGTGGCTGAGACAGAGGCGGGTGGAGCCATGGCCCACCTTGCCCTTTTTGGGTGGCTCCATCTTGGTCAGCGCCTCCTTGGTGTGCGCCTCGAGCAGGTCCAGGTCGGGGATGGTGGGCGAGGCTGCCTCCCGGCACTTCTTCCCTTTCTTCTTGCTGCCATCCTTGAGCTTCAGCGTTTTGGGGGGCTTGGGGGGCTTGGGAGATTTCGGGGGCTTGGGGATTTTGGACGGCTTAGGCATCTTCACAGTCTTGGGAGTCTTTTTTTTGGACACTTTCTCCAGGAGGGATCGAGGTGGAGTGGCCTCGATGGGAGACGGGGGTTCCTCTTTCTCCTGCTCCCCGTCACAGACCTCATCTGAGGAGGCAATGGTATTCACTTCTGGCCGGACGGTTTTGGAGGCATTCTGGGCAGGGAAAGGACAGGGTCACATGGGCACAGCTGGAGGGTCCCACGCCCGGACTCAGGGGCACCCCACACACCAGGTAGGGAGCCAGCTTAGCAAAGCACACGCCCCACAGCCTGTGGCAATATCATACGCCATCGTCCAACACACATCCTGCCCATGACACATGACACACTCACACGGCCCCACGGCCCCAAGACACACTCAGCCACCCAGATCATCAGCCCTTGGGCTCCACTGAGCACAGGAGGCTGCAGGGCCCTTCTGGCTGGAGGTGCTGGGATCTGAGGGGCTGGGCTTGGGTCTCTTCCTGAGACCCATCTGAGCGAGCCGTGTGGGCACAGCTCAGGGTCACGCTCAGCCCAGGTCCGGCAAGGCCCTGGCCAGCCCGCTGTCCTCCCAGGGTATGGCCTACCTCGCTGAGCCTGATCTCCTTGGCCAGGTCCTTGATGAGCTGTGATGGCCTGAAGTGCTCGGGGAGCTCGTCTTCATGCTCTGCCAGTGCCTGTGGGATGGCAGGGGTCATCAGGCACCAACCCGGGCATCCACAACCCCCAGACTCCCCACTCCATCCCATTGAGCTGCTCTCCACCTGCCCGAACAAGAATGGGGTGAGGGGTCATTCCAAAGGAGGCTGACAGTCCGGGGGGCAGGCTATGAGGTAGATTTGTGCCACCCCTACTTCCCAGCTGGGCAGCAAAGGTGGGCAGCTCAGGACAGCCCTGGAGAGCTCTGGCACCTCCCCTTCACGTCACCCAGGGCTCCCTGCCAACATCAGGGTCCCACGGGCTCTGCTGACCAGGAGAGGTCCTCCGCCCTTGGCTGCCGTTGGCAGGGTGCTGTGCAAGCATCCCAGCAGGAGACAACATCCCCAGGGCACCTGAAGATCGGCCTGCCCTCCCCTCCCTTGCAGCTAGCTTCCCATGGAGAGAAGGGAATGAGGGCACCAGCACCACAGGGTCACTGCGAGGACAGCGGCTCAGAGCAGGTGGTCGCACAGCTCCTGAGCAGGAGTGTTCCAGAGCCCTTGGTCTGGCTCCGGATGCCTGGCCCGGGGTGGCCTTAGCCTCCTCCATGTTCACTCGGTGCTGTCCCCCACACCATGTGCTGGAGAGGGGCACCCTGACACAGCCCTCGCCCAGTCAGTGTCCACGGACCTGTGGGTCCCTGGCAGGCAGGGACCTGTGGGCTAGGCAGCTCTGTGTGCAAGGGCAGATGGGGCTCGGCCCCATCGCCCTCTGAGCAGATCACACTGGGCCCCACTCCGTCACCTACTCCCCCCAGGAACGCGCCGCCTGCTCCCCACCTGCTTCTTTGTCCATGACCTGAAAGCACCATTGAGAACCTTAGCTCCTTGGACTAAGTGAGGGGGCAGCTGTTTCCCAGACTTGTGTGACCCTGGGGAGAAGACAGGGTTAGCTCAGAGGTGCCCAGCCCACAGACAGCCTGGGGACCCGTAGGTTCTGCCTTCCACCTGCCCAACTGCCAACGGTTCCTCTTGGAACCCTGCTAGGCCTCTGCTGTCCCACCCGCAGCTGGCCCACTGGGGCCCTGGTGTAGGAGGCCTGGCCTCTCCCCTTCCCCGCTCCCAGCCTGGCCTTAGCAAGGGCCCACATTGGCATCAGGCTGGGAGCTATATGCTGTGCCCACAGGCCTTCCCCGAGCACCCGATGCCTCCCTCTCCCCACCTCAGGCTGCACCCTGTGGGGCCAGGCCACATGACTGAGGCACCCAGCCTGGGAGAATGGACCTGGTTCTGGGGCTGACCTGGCATCCTGCCCCGTGGCCCAAAGTCACCAGTACCTTTGAATGCCTCCAGCAGATGCTTCCCCATGTACCAACATGCAGTTTCAAAGTTGGGAAACTGAGTCAAGCTTCCCAGTTTCAATCTTCTTTCCACTTCATATGCCCTGGAAGCCACAGCACAAACCATCAGTTCATGGAGCCCCAAGCAGGCCACACCCACTCAGACCACCTCTCCGCACTGCCTGGCCCAGGGACACGAAGCACCCTGCGGTGGAAGCTGCAGGCTGCAGCTATTGGAGCTCAGCAAAGCCCAGGAAAGGGGGCAGCAGTCTTCAGCGACCCAGTCACCACACAGCTCTCCAGCCCCAGCCCTCAGGGGCATTGTGAGACCACAGTCCTTCCCAGCCTGCCCCACAGCATGAGGTGACCCTGGACACAGATAGCGGTGCCAGGGCTGCCCACAGGTTAGGCCCGTCCAGGACTTGTGCTGGGACCCATTACACTAACTTCGCTGGGGTACCCTGCCCAGCAGGACCCCGGGAACTGACAACACTGTGGACACTACCTCATCTGCATCTCCACCCCTCAGGCTGTGCAGGAAATGTCCCTACCTCATCTGCATCTCCACACTCAGGCTGTGCAGGAAATGTCCCGAGAAGGCCAAGCAGTCCACGGGAGTAAGCGTGGCATAAATCCAGCCTGGGAGAAACAGACAGGGACAGGCCCACTTGCCATGTCCATCTCACACGCACCCAACCAGGCTCTGCTGACCAGTGAGGGGCCCCTGGCCTTGGCCCCACCCTCTGGGAGGGCTGCCAGGAGACTGTGTCTGAAGCGGTGTAGATGGTTTAATCCAGCCTTGTGCCACTCAGACAGGGAAACTGAGGCTCAAGGGCAGCACCCAGACTAAGAAGGTGCATCTGAGCCCCAGGCCACCACATGCAGGGCAGGAGGGGACAGAGCTAGGGCCGTCACCATCCCTGGCATCTACAGTTTGTCCCTCAGTTATCTAGAGGGACAGAGTCATAGCCAGACTCCCAGAAAACCACAGAGCTTCCCACAATAACAATGAGGAAGCCGAGGCGGGAAGAAGGGCCCAGCCAGGACTATAAAGGTAACAAGGACCGAGAGACTGAGGAATCAGCTGAACTCTGAGGACTTCTGCAGATCCTTATTTAAAACAGAAAAAAAAAGAAAAGAAGAAATATACATAACCAATTAAAAATCTGAACAATGACTGGCTATTTAAAGGTAATGTGGGGTGCTCATTTTTAAAGATGGGACAGGAAGTTTTTCAGAGAGCGGACTCTGCCACTGCAGCAAGGGAGCCCTGGGGCTTACTCGCTTGCCCTGGCACCAAACATCCCCCATCCGCAATTGCTGCCCTCTCCTGCGGCCACCTTTGCCCTCTGCAATGGCCCAGCTACACTGACACCTTGGGCCAAGCCACAGCCCCTGTGCCAGGGGCCTGACCGTGGGGGCTGGGCCCTGGGGCTGCAGGGGACTGGCCAGCCCAGGTGTCCACCAGACTGCAGATCCTTCTGTGGGGACCCGGGCAGGACACAGCATGGGGCGGAGGGCCACCCACCTGAGGGGATGAAGAGGGTCTGGCCCTGCTTCACCGTGCACTTGTAGCATTTGTCCACCTGGTCAGCAAAGAACATCTCGCTGTGATTTGCAGCCGACCGCCAGCGCTCATACAGGGAGATGTTGGCCGATGCCGGTCTGATGAGATAGAAGATCTTCTCGCCCTGCCGAGAGAGCCATTGGCAAAGCTGCAATGCCAGGGATGCGGGGTGGGCTAACTCTGGGCTGGGGACGCTGGAGTGGGGGTCAGGGCACAGTCTGTCTGGTGCTGGGAACAATGAAACTCGGTACTGGGGCTCCTGGGAGGCCTGGTGATGGGGCTCAAGCCAGGCAGCACCCTGTCCAGGCCCATTCCAGCCGCAACACCGCTCTGCAATTCAGAAGTCTGCAGGCTGGGAAGGCTCTGGGCACAGGAGCCCAGCATGGTTGGGCTGCACCTCTAGGCCCCAGACACTATGAACGGCGTACATGTGCCCAGGGAGAAAGAAGCCCACACCTGGCCATGCAACGAGTCCTAGGTAGCTTTGCTCTTGAGAGGTGCCAGGCTCATGGGCTTGATTAAAAGACGGCTGCTTTTCCTTCCCCAGGCAGCTCTCAAGGCCCCAGGTACAACCCTGCACCCACAGCCATGGTGCCCTCATCCTCCTGCACTGGGGTAAAGGTGGCTCAGGTGGGCTCAGGGGCAGGGTTGGCCCCCAAGCCCAGCACCCCAGCTCTAGCCCTCACTGATCTGGAGAAATCCAGTCTGTGGCTGGTTGAATACAAAGCGTAAGGTTCCTGATACCATCTGCACCCCATTTTTCTCTGGCTTCCCTCTCTTCTTCCTCAGTAGCCTGCCCCTTATCCCTCTGTGCAGCTTGCCTGCCCCTGCCCACTCAGTGGCTTCACTGTGGATCCCAACTCTGGCTGACCCCTTTACCAGAAGTCAACCTTCTACGAGCCCTTGTCTTGCCGCTGTTAAGAAGCTTCAACCCCGTGCATGTCACTGGTCCCAGATGCACCCTTGCCCTCTGCCCTTGGATCAGATACGATGGTGTCCCTCCTGCGGCTAATCCTGGTCACTGAGGGCCCGGAGGAATGGTAGTCTTGCGGACAGGCCACGGGCTGTCAAAGGCAAGATGCGCCCTGCAGACCATGCCCACCTTAAGCACATGATACCAGGCAGAGGCACCACCAGAGTCGATATGGAAGTCAGTGTAGCTGTCCTTCACACAGATCAGGCAGTACTTGGTCACTTTGGGCTTGGCCAGCAGCGCATCATCAGGCCAATAGTTTTCTACCCAAGACAGTTTCTTCACAATGTCAGGCGGTTCCACAAAGCTGGACATTCTGGGGACAAGACAAGAAGCCTGGTCAGTGGTGAGAAGGCCTGACCTCCTAGGGTGGCAAAGGTGTTGTGGCACATGTCCCACACTCTACTGCCCGCAAGTCATGGGGCATTGGGCCCCTCATAGATACGACCAGAGGGCAGGCTGAGTGCAGCCTCGAGCTGGTCTCCACCACCTCACAAAGCTGAGGAAAAGGCATGAGACCTGAGCTCCTTTCCAAGGAGCTGCAAAGCGGCTCCAGCAGTAAACCCTTCTTGCGTACGACCCATGCATCTCCTGGTGCCACCTAAGGAAAGGCCATAGCCCTCCGTGGCAGACAGCAGGCAGCCTGTGACTCCCACACCGGTCACTGTCAAATCCAGCTGACTCAATTAAGGTGGAGAGAGCTGAAGGCAGTCTAGGACAAACTCAATATCCCTGTCCAAGCAGCCCAGTACCTAAAAAGCTGTCCCTGCATCGATCGAACACGTCACACTCAGCAACAGCTGCGGGTGACATTTCAGCCTCTGCAGAATCAGGCTGTGGACCTGTGCTGCCTTGGGCCACACGAGGGTCCCGCATGCCTCCACTGCCCTGGCTGGAACTTCCATGGTGTCCTTCCTGTCACCATCTTCATTTCCCTCAGAGGCCACGTCCTCAGACAGAGCTCTGTGCAGTGAATCCTCGTCATCTGATGTTACCTCGACTCCTCTTTATATATAACTGGACCTCCCTGGGCTGCCAACCAGGCTCAGCCCCCTCCATGTCACTCAACCCACAGACCACTTCCTGTGAGACAACTGCGACACCCGCTGTGCCTGGACCGTGCTGAGGTGCCGCTGAGACCCCCCTTCAACACAGCATGACCCCCTGGACCTTGTGCCTACCTAATACAAACCCGTAAACTAAAATTCCTTGCAGGAAACCTGTCTGGGCAATTCACTGCCTGCTGCCCTCTCTCTCTCCCTGTACAAGGTCCCTGGCCTCCTGCGTGTGCCCTCCAGGCTCATCACAGTCACCTTGTGACCTTCACCTGTCTCCCTCCTAATCAGCAGAGGAGAGCTCCACCTTAAACCAGGCCTGGCAACCTCAGTCACAAACCCTCACCTTCAATGCCCTCCACGTGAGGTCCCCAGGGCAATGTCACCCTCGGGGGAGGTCCCCTGCCAGTAGGAGAGGGCCCTTGAAGTCCAGTTCCAGCCGGGCCCATTTTGCACCCAGTATAGCAATGGGGCCCACTCTCCCTCTGGTGGACCCCTGGATGTCCTTTCCCGGCTTGGCCTGGAACTCAGGGCCATGCCAGCCCCTCTGCACTGGAGAGGACCCAAATGCCTCTGTGAGCACCAAGGTCATCATGCGTGACGGGAGCACATCGGTGTGTACCCCTCATGCTGGACCCGCTGCACAGTGGACACCTGGCATGGGGCCCAACCTTCACAGTCTGGCTGACGTCTGGGGCGGACTTACTGAAGAGCAGAAGGCTGCCCTGCCTCCCTTGGGTGGTACAAAACGGTTCTCAGAGCTCGCTCGGGTCGTGAGTACCTGACAAAAGTCACCAATAATCGCCAGCAGTCCTGAGAGTGGCATGGGGAGTGAGGAGGACAGGAGGCAAAGGGGTGTCCCTGTCGGTGGGGAGGAGAACCCCAGACCAAAGCACCACCTTGCCCTGATAGAAATGCGACTCAGCACGTCCCCCGGCACCACAGCAAGTGGTGGGGAGCACAGCTGGGGAGCAAATCCTCTCCGAGTCTCTCCCTTCTGCCTCCTCTGAAGGGAAGCTGGAGTAAGAGCTGAGGTCAGTGCTTCCACGGCTCCTGGCAGTCCTGCGTCCTCTTTCCTGGGAGGTTTTGCTAATTCTCTCACTCTGTATCACTTCCTGCTGCATACACACTATCTTGCATATTTTTCAGAAGTAGGTAAAGGGAAAGTTGAGGCCAACACAAAATTCTCCTCTGTCACTTGAGGCTGTGAGCACTATGGGTCTTTCCCAAGGGCCAGGAGGCGGGCAGTTGAGTCCAGGGAGGGGTGGGAAGAGCAGGCGCTGAGCACAGGGAGTGCACGGCCCTGGGGATGGGGTAGGGCCAGCGCGTGACCAGCCTGAGGGAGGCACTCCACCCACAGTGGCCTGGGCTATGGCAGTGACACGTGGGACTCAGCAGGACAAGGACAGCGGGGCCTTGTGACCCGAGGACGGCACAGCGCAGAGCTGGGACTGGAAGGCAGAGGTGAGGACGAGCACGCTGCAGGTGTGTGGTGAGTGTGTCCACGCATGACTATGAGCTCGCTGGTGAGTGCGGTGAGTGGGTGCGTGTGCTACAGTACTGCGTGTCCACGAGTGGGTCCCGAGCGTGACTGTGTCCTCAGTGGGTGCACCTGGAAGAGGCACTCCGCACCTCACCACACAGGACCTGTCTCCTTGCTCTCTGTTTGGTCTGAACTGTCCCTCAGTTTTCCATGTTCAAAGAGAAACAGCAAAGCGGACCGGGCACATTCCATGTGGCCCGACAGCAGCCCAGAGCAGGGAGAGGCCCTCAAGCCAGGCACAGCAGTCCCCACACCTACGGTGGCCCTGTCACCTGGTGTCGGAGAACTCAAGGTTGGTGACATTGAGGACCCGTTTGCGGTTGGTGCTGTAGTAATAGTCCACGAACTCCTTCAGCTTCATCTTGCAGCCCTTCTGCTTGGTGACATCTGTCACATCCACGCTCCGCTCTGGCCCTGGGGAGGCAGCAGGAGGGTGTGAGGAGAAGGTGGCAGGACCTCCCTCTGCTCTGGCCATGGGTGGACACTGTGTGCCCTTGCCCATGCAGCAGCCCGCAAGGATGAGAAGGTGGACCCTGTGGCTCTGGGTGCTAAGCTCTTCCCTGCTGCTGCTCCTCTCAATTCTGACTGCCAAGGGCCCCACCCTCCAACTGCCACAGGGCCTGGTGGCAAATCTCAGGCCCCAGCAAGGGGGGCCAGGTCAGCGGATAAACACACAGATGCCTGTGAACAAGTCTGCTTCTGATGGCACATCCATATAATACCTGAGCCATACCTACAGCTGAAATGCTATAGCCAAGAGCCCCACATTCCTATGGTTTGGATAAGTGCCCCCCAGGTCCCTGTGTTAAATTCTCAGTCCCTGGCACTATGCAGGAGGTGGGGCCTTATACAAGGTCCTTAGATCATTGGAGCCATGTCCTTGAAGGGGACCTGGGGACCCCGGTTTCCTCTTCCTCTTGCTCCAGCATGCACTCCTGCCACAAAGTGCCACCTTCATCAGGGACCCAAAACTATGGAACCAATGGATCACGGCCTGGAACATCCAGAACTGTGACCCCAAATAAACCTTTTCCTTAACATTCACTGCCTCAGAGATTTTGTTTCAGTAACAGAAAGCTGACTCAGATAGGGAACAACGCATTATTCTAAAAACTGGTCAACTGAGGAATAGCTGATGAAGAAAGTTCCAATAACTGAATGATCCAATAACTGAAGAGGGTAAGTTCTTCACAGAAGACCCAGGAAGAGCAGAGGCAGGAGAAGGACAGATCGCACAAGCAGTCCACAGTGCCAACCCAGATGCACAGTAAGGGACTCTGACCTCTGAGAGCAGGGGAGGCCATGTGCCAGCTCCCACTGGTGCTGAGGTGCCCCTGAGGTCCTGCACACCCATGCAGGAAGGAGACCTGCTGAAAACCTGAACCCATGTCCAAGCAGGGCTCACTGATCAAGTTTACGAGAAAGTCAGGGGCCTACCAGGACACCCCACAGGGACAGCAACAACCAAGTCCCAGATGCAAGAATTTCTGATGGGCCTCAAGTCCCTTTCCCCAACAAACAGATGAGTGGAAGTGGGAAGGGCTGTCAGAAAGGAACAGCACTTCAGATGCATCAAAACCGGAAGCACACGCAGGCCCTCTTTGAACTTGGATTCAAACAGCAAGGTGGAAAAGAGGTATCTGGGGGGAACTGGACAGAATTATACTAGGTTTTACAAGCTGCAAAGGAATTATCGTGAATGCTGTAGAGTGTGAGGATGGAATTCTTGATTATTTGTTTCAAAAATGATCTGTGAGCTGTTAGAGTTTTGTGGACAAAAAAAATATATAAAAGCATTTGCTTTAAAATACTACAAGGGTGGGGGGCGAGTTTGACAGAAAACAGGCCGGTGGTTTCCAGTGGCTAGTGCCAGGTGCAAGCGGTTTGTTGTGCCCTTGTTCTGTGTGTGCTTATAAAGGTTCATGGGAGAGAGAGAGAGAGAGAGAGAGAGAGAGAGAGAGAGAGAGAGAGAGAGAGATGGACAGAGAAAGGAGGGTGGGCTCCAAGGCCCACCCTCCTGCTGCTGTGGAGGAGCAGGGCCCTTGTGGCCAGAGGAGCTGGAGCTTTGGGGCTCTCAGAATCAGAGCCCCAGGCGTGGGAAGGGTTTAAGGGATGGCTGGCTCCTAGCAGCAGTTCTCACCAGTGCTGGTGCTCCTCACCTCCCAGGTCGCCCCGGGCACGCATGGTATGGGATAGAGGAGTGACAGTGCTCTCCTGGAGCGGCTGGGTACCAGCACAGGAGTGCTGGGGGACCCTATGTGCACACATGCAGTGAGCCAGCAGCCACCTCTGGCTGGGGCAGCACCTGCCTCAGCCAGCCTGCCTTCCTTCTAGACAAAGAAGCCTTGGAATGAAGCTTCTGTAGACCCTCAGTATGGACTCCTAGCCCAGGAGGACACCCTCCAGATCCCTTTCCAAGCTGCCCCACGGTATTAGTCTGTGTTTGTCTGCGAGCTGCCCCTGGAGAGCCCAGGACCCCTGCTCCTTGCTGAAACAGAAGAAGATGGCTTCCCAGTTGGATGCTGCTGTCGGGCCCAGCGCTCACTCCCACAGATGACCACGCTGAGACCCCCAGTGCCCCCAGGTCCTGTCAGAGATGACGGTCACATGCACAGCAGTGGGGCAGCCTCGCTGAGCATAGTTCAGGCCTCCCCATTCTGGGCATGTGTCCTCAGGGCTCTTGCCCCTCTCCCTCCACTAATGTGGAGGGAGAAAACACAGGGGCCTCAGGGCCCAGCTGCTGGGGCCACTGCTGACCCCCGTCTGATACACAGACACCCTCTTCTACCCACATGGCCCCAACTATCCATGTCACAGGGCCATGGATGCCAGTGGACACAGGACAGCAGCCACCAAAGACATCATTAAGAGTCCAGAGGAACCCTGAAGAAGTGGCCTTGGTAGCGAGCAGTACCAGGCCATGGGGCTGATGAGGAAGGCCAGTCCCTGGCTGGTGGCCAGGATGGAAAGGGGGACCAGAGCCCCCAGGCTTCCAGCACATGGCAGAGGCATGGGACACACAACAGTGGATTTCATAGCTTGGAGAGTCAAGGGGTCCCCAGACCAGTGCTCCATAGCAGCCAAAGTAATTGAAGAGAAGAGAGGCCCACCAGGTCCCCTGTCCTGCGAGGACCCGAAGTCTGATCCCAGAGCCCAAACTGAGCCCTGCGTCTCATGTGTTATGTCTCACTCAGAACATAGCCAGGATGTGTGTGTGTGGGGGGAGGGGGGGAGATTCACAGAAGGTAGCCAGAAACCCAAGGTCCCCCAAGATAAGGGAGTGCCACACTCACCCACGTAGTTCTCAACGTCACTGACGTAGAATGTGGGGGCTGGCACAGCCAAGCCCAGCCCGTCTTTCTTGGGGACGAGGATGGGTTCTGTGAAGCCATGCTCCTCCATGTAGCCCAGCGTGAGCTGGCCGCCTGGCATGCGGGACACCACGTCTTCAGCACTGCGGGTGGGGAGGTGGGTCAGAGGCCACGCTGCAGCCACCCAGACAAGGTTGCAGCAGGAGATGCCCAGGCCCTCCAGGGCACTGGAGAAGTCGGCCCATGCCACCACACTGGGGTCACGGGGACAGCCATGAGCAGGCAGGATGTCCCCGTCAATCTTACCACCTGTACCCCTGCTTCCACCCATGCTACACTCTGAGATGAGGAGGTCAGGGCCACGGTGCTGAGGGACAGGGAGGCCGCTGCACCCTTCGAGCTGGCCTTCCTTCCCGCCATGGTAGAGTGGCTGGGGTGGGCTTTCTTTCCGCTGTCCCACAGCTGAGCCCAGGCTGAGGACACAGTGATGTTCCCGCTGACCCCACAGTGGGACTGGGCACTGCCCGAGATGAGCCATGCTGGGGAGTGCGTCCAGGGAGAGCTCCTGCAGAGCAAGACCAGGCCCCAGCCCAACTCCTACCTCCCGCCGTGGCCCTGGGACACAGAAGCCCAACACCACCTCTTAAGGACACTGTGGCTTCCGCTTCCAGGCCTAGGCTGAGGTCCCTCATCCGGAGCCCCAGGAGCTGCCAGGCACAGTGACCCCAACCACAGGACCCAAGCAGACCTCTCTCTCAGTCATCCCTGTTGGGACTCAGTTTCCCTACTGTACTGATAGGGCTTGCCACTCTCTGCGAAGCCCAACTTTACTCAGCTGGAGCACTCGCCAGGGGCAGAAAGAGGATGGCAGAAGCTGCCAAGTCCCACGGCAGGGAGGGACACGCACAAAGGTGCATGGAGTCAAGAGTGACACCCATGGCCCTCGACACCATGCCCTCTGTCTCCCTCCTGCTCACACTCCTGCCCCAGAGATGGTGGCAGTACCAAGGCCAGACATCTATCTACCAGACTGAATACAGAGACCCTCGTGAGCGTCCAGTCTTGGTCTGCCCTCTACTGGACATGACTGCTACCACAGGGCCAGAGACAGAGAGGTGACACAAAATAGGAGGAACAACCTTCTTAGAGCAGGATGTATCCTAGCAACCTCCCAGGAGAAATGGAGGACTAGAGAGAGCCCCGCCCTGCTGGCCCTGCTGGTGGGGACGCTGCCCTGGGCACTCAGCCCAGCCAGACAACACCGGGAACAGGCTCCATCAGACGAGCACAGCAGCTCCCAACTGGAAATGCTACGAAGAAAGACAGCAGCACATGGAGCCCGGTGGAGCCCAAGAGGAGACGAAGGTCTATTGCAGCAGAGGCCTCTGGAGGGGACGGAGGGCAGGGAGCCTGGCAGCCGGACAGGAAACCTGTCCACCCCGGTCATGGCTCCCACTGCAGGCCCAGGGCACCAGAGCTACAGAACAGCTGCAGCAGGGCAGCGACACAGTCTGCAGTTCTGTCCACCACTGCACAGACGGGACTGTAGCGGGACTAAGGTGGGAGCAGGGTGGCTACTGGAAGAAAGGTCAGTGTCTCAGGGAGCCTGACACATGGACAAGAGAGACGGGACTGGTGAGATCAGTGCTCATCAGAGGGATTGAGGGAACAGGAAGAAGCGAAGGTGGGCAGCTGGGGTTGTATGTAGGAGGGGCGGAAAGGAGGGCACAGAGCAGAGCGAGACTGAGCTAGGGACTGAGCTAGCATCCCATGTGAGACACAGGCTGGACCCTCCGGGGACAGAGCAGCTGACTAACAGCACAGATCAGAGCTGGCAGAGCCAGAAGCTGGAGTCAGGCTGCTCAGCCTCTGGGCGGGGCCAAGAACAGAGGCCCTGGAGGCAGAACCTCCAGGAGAGCAGTGGGCAGGAGAGGAAGCGGCAGGCGGGAGGAAACAGAACTTCCCCAAGACAGGGGTGCAATGCGGTGCTGCCGGAGGTCAGTTGGGAGCAGGGCAGAAGAGTGTCCGCTGGTTTTGACCATCTGGTAACATCATGAAGAACCCCTCAGGAGGAATGATGGGAAGGAGGGAATACAATACAGACAACTGAGGAGCTCAGGGAACAGAGGTCCCGCCAAGGAAGCTTCAGACTCCACCAGGAGTCTCCCATCTACCAAGGTGAGAAGCAGAAAGCTTCCCTTGAAAACCCTAAACTCCAAGCCATGTCTCAGGGGGGAGACTCCAAATTAACATTAAACCCACGGTCTAGGACACCAAACAGAATCTCAAACCAAGAAATTCACAAAGGTGACAGCAAAAGGCACTCACAAAGTCATCTCGTACAGAGACCTGTGCTGCCTGGACGTGCTAGTTACTGCAAGAGATGGATCTCCTGGGAAAGTGTGCCTCGCAGAAGGATGCAAACTCCAGGAGGGGCTCAGCAGATGCACAAGCAGAGGGAACAGCTCTTAAGACCTAAGGATAATAGCACAACGGGGAAGGAAATGTGAGGATGGATCTACTAAACACACTGGACAGGAAAGGACAAGACTAACCAGAGGGCAGGGGAGGGTGGGAAAAGAACAAACAATATGGAAACCTTACAGAAATTCTAGAAATAAAAATATGATTAAGAATTTAAAACCTAGTAGATATATTATATGGCAAGTGGGTAGGAAGAAAGATAGTGAACTGAAGGGCAATTTTGAAAAAATGACAGGATGCAGAAGAAATGGTAATGAAAAAGAAAACATTATTTTGACTCCTCCAATTAAAAGGATGCAGAACTATGGGGAGAAGAAACAAAAACAAATGCAGCAGTGCCATGTGTACTCATGATATATCAAAGGCAAGAAGATAATCTTAGATGTTTTCCAAAGACAAAAACCACATTTACTCCCAGCACTCGGGAGGCTGAAGCAGGAAGGTTGTTATGAGTGCAAGACCAGCCTGGGTTACAAGGTGAGCTCAAGGCCAGCAGAATTGTACAGTGAGACCCTGCCTCAAAAGGACAAAAAAAAAAAAAAAAAAATTACCAGAAATGAAACAAAACCTAGCTATTCCACTGACAACAGATTATCAACAACAAGAGATATCAAAAGATAATAAAGTAATATCTTCAAAGAAATAAAATAATTTTTACTACAGAACTTTAGATCAATTTCAGAATATTAGAAACCTTGAAGAATAAGGATAAAATGAAAACACAGTCAGAGAACTCAGTGGTAGCCAACTACCCCACGTCCTCCACTCCCAAGTTACAGAGGCGGTCGGATCTTGGTACAGAGGCCATGGGCAGCAGTGAGCTGTAGCCAGAGTGCATCGCCAAACAGCAGACACTAACCAAAGCGATCACCAAACTAGAAAGAGTCGACTAAAATCAACCTGAAAACCTTAGCACAAAACAAAATAGTAGAAATGTGAGAAGACCACGCAACAAAACATCTGCGAGAGCTCCCAACTCCCCCAAAGCTGATCTACGGGGAATCAAGAAGGAGGAAATTACCAAATTATTCCAAAGGGTAACAAGAGAAAAGAGATATAATTAAACAGATAATGGGCTTAATGAGCAAAAGAATTAGTAAGTTTACAGGAAACATCAATAAAAAGCTAGCTGAGCTAAACAAAATGATACAAAACACAAATGACCAAGTTAGCAAAGTACTGGAATTCATGAAAAGGAACCAAATAGATACCCAACAGATTAAAACTTCTACTAACAGAACGGGCAGCAGAAGTGACCAATCTGAGGACGATGTCAGGACCAACAGATAGGCTTGCTTTCAGGGGCCAATTATTCAGCGACACCTTAAACACAGCAAGAAAACATGAACAATGGAGCCAACAGACGCAAAGTAGACTAACCTAAGATTAACTAACTAGTAAAAAAATCAAAAGACAGAAAAAATGGCATGTCTAAAAACCTGTTTACAGAAATAATAGGAGAAAACTTTCCAAACATAAAACAGGAGATAAATGAAATAGAAGAGAACTCCTAAATGACATGCTCAGAAAGGAACCTCCCCATGACATGTCAGTCGAAATCACAGAAGTCCCAAAAGAGGTCTGAATGTCAAAGGCACTTAGAGAAAGCAACAAATCACCCATGAAAGTAAACACCTTAGAATCACAGCAGCCTTCTCAGTATAAAACAATGGGCCAAGAGAGCTTAGAGCAAAGTGTTTCAAGCCCTAAAAGAAAACAAGTTCTAACCCAGACCAAAATATCCTGCAAAATTATCTTGCAAAAGTGATGGAGAAATAGTATTCCCAAGACAAAGAGCGTCTTAATTCATTACCACCAAAGCAGCACTATAGAACATCCTCAAGGATAACTTAGAGATAGTGAAGCCAAAAGTACCAGAAAGTCTGACAGAATGAATACACCAGGTAGGGTGAACAGTGAAGCAGAAGGGAGTAGAAAAGAAAGAGCACAATAGGAAAAGAACACACAAGTAAGTCAGTGTCTGTCAGCAGCCACTCTCAAGGTGAACGCTCTTGACTTCCCATTCAAAAGACACAGGTTGGCAGGATGGATTCAGAAACAAAACCAGGGCTACGCTGCGTACAAAAACCACATTTAATCCAAAAAGAAATTCACACACTAAAGTCAAAGGATGGAAAATGATATTCCATGCATCAGTAACCTGAAAGCAAGCAGGGGCAGTAATTCTATTCTCAGATGAAGCGAACTTCAAGTCCAAACTGATCAGAGGATGCAAAGAAGGTACTACATACTGACTGTAGGGACGTGAAGGGTTGAACTGAAGGAAACAATTCAACAGAGAGAGAGATAAGAATTATAAACTCCATACACTAATACTGGCACACCCAACTGTATAAAACCAACCCTGGACATGAAAGAGCAGATAAACACCATAGCAACCATAGAGGGCACCTCAGTAATACACTATCACAGATAGATGAACTAGACAAAAATAAAATTAACAAAAACAAGTCAGAGTGAACCAAACTTTCAAACGAACAAACTTCATATGTACATTCTTCCCAAGAGCAACAGAATATGCATTCTTCTCCGCAACCCATGGGATTGTCTCCAAAATAGATCACATGCTGACCCATGAAGCACACTTAAGTAAATGCAAAGGAGCTAAAATTATCTCATGCATGTTATCAGATCATAG